TGTTACAGGACGATAATGCAAGACCACACAGAGCTCGCATTGTTGATGATTATCTTCAACAGGAAACAATTACTCGCATGGAGTGGCCAGCTCGATCCCCGGACTTGAATCCTATCGAGCACGTTTGGGATGCTCTAGGGAGGCGTGTATCTGCCATCAATCCGCCCCCTCAGACCCTTGCCACGCTTGCAACTGCTTTACAAGAGCAATGGCTCTCACTTCCTATTGAACTGATAGACCGCATAATTGAAAGCATCACACATCGCTGTTTGTGCTGTATTGCTTCTAGAGGCAATCATATTCCATATTAAAGGTACTTTTTCTATTGCAAACCGATACTTCCAATTTGTTTATTTTATACATGTGCTAATTTCTATACTACTATTAATGTCTGATAATTTCTTTTTATGTTGTTTAATACCTTACTATGTGTTGTATATTGTGGGTAAGTTTCATAAAATTCCATGTGTAATTTCTTGAGTTATCGCGATTTTTGTGAATTTTCCTTAATTTATGATAACCAGTGTATTTTACTTTTTCGAAAGCAAGCGATAATGAGATCATTTTCATACCAGTTTTTTTTTCGTCTTTCATAATCTGAAAATTTTATAAAGCAAAGGTTTTACCTTCATTTTAGATATGAAAATTATTATTCAGGAAAATTTAAAGAAAAAAAATTGGTTGCAATGACAATTTGTTTTACCATTTCAGCTTTGCATATATGGTAAATTATCATAACTGGATGGGACGGTTCTAAACCGGCCTCGCGTATTAATCAAGGCTGAATTATGACTGGGCATTGCTTCACTTTTCCTTTTACCTTAAAGTATCTAATTTTACGCGATTCCCTATTTCTGCTTTGTTTGAATATATGAATTACAGTGGTATTTTTCGATTATAACATCCAAACCCGATATACCCTTGATTTACTTTTAATTGCAGAACCATGTAAACCTAATCCTTGCCAAAACGGAGGAATTTGTAAAGAAAATGGTACAAAATTTAGATGTGAATGTAAAGATCATTATGAAGGTGATAAATGTGATATGGGTAAGTAACTGTATGGGTTTAACTTACCTACTATTAGTTTGGATATTAAGATTTTATTTTATTTTATTTATAAGTTATATGAGCGGCGTTGAAAAACCGATCCAATTTTGTGTTAAACACTCTTAAAGTTCAAATCCGTAACCTTGTCAATTTAAACCCAACACTTAAAACAAGGGAACATTGGAACGAACTAGTTTTCGCGGAGTTTATTTGCATGGAATGGAACCAACCCACATTTAAAATACTCAGGGATTAAAACTACGCAAATCTTCCAGGGTCCACCTACCACTGAGGATACCAAGATTAAGATAAATGCAATATTGCGAAATAAATGTTTGAAATCATGATTTTTTATTAAAGAAAAAGTTTTAATATATGCAATAATAACATGTGACAAAGTGGACCTTGTAGTCAATGTAACACAATTAAAAAATGTAGCAAAAAGTTCTAAAGTAAACAAATTTTTAGACATGTATTTAGACATGTACCACTTTCTTATTTTTACTAGATTTTCTATTAAAAGATTCTTTGTAAACTAGTTTACCGTCATAGTGGTCTAATGGGACTACCTATCAAAAAAACCCGTGTAGAGCCTTTCTGTCGTAGGAGGTGTTGGTTAAACCCTTTATTTCTAGACGGGATGGGCAGAGTGAAAAATGTTGGGAACTACTTCTAATTCAAGTTGAAATTTGGGTTATTTTACACGTTAATTGAAAACTGTTTTCAGTTTCACTATTTCTTTTAAATAAATCAAATTTTCAATTTTTTCATTAAAATTTTTTAATGCATTTAATTTAATTTTTAAGTTCAAAAATAATATTCCGGTTCAATATATATATTTAAGCATAAACGACAAATATGACTAATTCACGTCATAATTAATGTTATTAATAATGACGTGAAATCAGTCATATACTTAAATGATGGAGATTAGATTGATATTATGGATACATTTTTTGAGGAGAGTTAGATATTTTAGTTTTCCTACAAATAAAAATGATAATTATAACATTTTATAAGTATTCCAAACTTCTCATGAAAACATTTTTTTTTTTTTAAATTTCAAACTTCAGATATAATGACTAAGTTTTACAATTTTTATTGTTTAGAATGTAATTGTGAAAATGGACACTGCAAAAGAAATAAAACTGGACAGGTCGTCTGCGAATGTTTACCAGAGCATGGAATGTATAAAGATAGGATTTGCAAAGGTATTTGTTTTTGTTATTATTATGCTGCTTTAACCTTAAAAAAAAGATTGTTTCTATGTAATTAAAATAAATAACAGATTTTTTTGATTTTAAAATATAACATATTACAACACTTTTGTGAGAGTAAAGTTTGAAGTTCTTTCTGCTTATTACCTACCAAACTTTTTTATAAATTAATTATAACTATATTTAATTTTTTATAAGTAAATTATTAAGTAAATAATTAAGTAAAAAAATCCTAAAATTTTGATTAAAGCAAATTTCATCCAACAAATGCAGATCTGCGAACTTTTAATTTCTGCGAGGTTAATTTTTTAAGGTGGTAGTAAAATAAAAATTTTATTACATTAATGAGCAGAAATATTTTTGTATTGTTAAAAATTCAAAATAAAAGCATATAATTATCATGCACTTATATAAATATTAATATGTATGCAGTGATGATCGAAACTCTCTTAAATGAAATTTATAAATCCAAATTATAAATAGGAGACAAGTTTTACGAATACTTTAAATGTAAAATTTAATTTTGAGCAATGTGCATACCAGGGCCCTTAAATACACCAGATTACACAGGTACTCTAGTCGTATATTAACACTATGCGGTCCGCATGTATTTAGTGATAAGTTTACCATGCAACCGGTTCCGTGTAACTTTCTCCGCTTTCTAAAATAGCATTTTCTAGTGGTAGCGAAATTTAAGTTACTTTTAGTTTAGTATTTTTCATTATAAATAATTTTTTCACCACTAAATATCGAAAATTATAAGTATGATATAAAATGCAGCGTTAAAGCATCAAATTACTGGTTACCATATTAAAAAGTAAACGTAACTATCTTTCTTTAACGAATTTTACTATATAATTTGCTACCACTTTATTAAAACTATTCCAGAAAGCGAAGCAGATGGCATCCCTGTACTCTATATTGTTCCTTGAAAAAATGTCGCATGAATATCAGGTTGCAACGCGCGACATCTATGTGTTGTCACTGGCCACTAACGTTCGGCTTGGACATGGCACCAACATGTTGTCACCGGCGGTTAGTGTATGGCTTGCGTATGGCACCAACGTGTTGTCACCGGCAGCTAACGTTTGGTTTTCACGTGACAACACGTTGGTGTCACTGGACATGAAAGTGTTAAGCCTCCACCTACCCAATCACCTCAGTCGTCTGAGGGCAAATTAGAGAGATGAAGGAATCAGATGCCCGATTACGCGGGGAGGAACTTCGCAACAGCTTGTTTAAGGCCTTTAAATGTCGTCCAAAACAATTAAATTGATAACAAATATGGCATTTCTTGATATTATTATAGTATTTCATGATAAACTTCAGGAAATGTAGATCTAGTTGAAAAAAAATTAAATATTAACTTTTTTGATCACCATTATAATTCGGTAAATTAAGATACATTTATCAATATTATACATCTCCCGTATAAAAAATATTTAAATTTAAACGGCTGTTTAATCAAAAATATATCTACTTATTTTAGTGATAAATTTATTATTACTAGAATATTTGTAATGTCAATGAATAATGTCAATTATATAAGCAACTGTTAATATATTCTTCACTAAATCAGTGAATAAAAATGACATAATAAATGCGAGTTAGGACTTGTTATAATTTTTGTGTAATGTTTTAAAGTACAATATACAAAAATGAATATTTTGAATACTTTTCGATCTAATAATCGGATACAAAATAATTTAAATTTTCTTTTTTCCTCTTTTAGCTTGTGACTGTGGTAAAAATGCAAATTGTACGTTTGATATAGGTTGGATAACGGACGATAAGTATTGTTTGTGCCCAAATAATATAACACTGAAGAATGCACGTTGCAAAGGCAAGTAAAAGATTTTTTATACATATGACAATACGTATTCAATTCTTATATGTACACTCATGGACAAAAAAATTAGCGCACCTTAGCTTGGGTGCGCTAATTTCTGTGTGCAGGAGTGCATATATANTCTTGAGAATATGTGTATGTATATCATATATATATATTACAACTGAAGGGCTTACTGCGTGATATTGATAAATCAAATTAGTCTTAAAGATGACAATTTCACACCAAATTGTTTCTTAGCACTATTTCCAGACTAATAATTTACAAGATTCAGAATTTCTTCTTGGTGTCAAAACGACGGATTGAAAAATTTTATTGCCTACATGAAAATCGTAGAGTGTATTTTTCACCAAAAAACTTCGTTAACAGTAGAAAGATGGAAGGAGCCAACTTGGCCTCTCTCGTTTTTTGTTGCTCTACAATTCTGAAATTGTCTTACTGAGAGTGATGAGAATTTCTGACTTTTCATAATTTGATCCAATTTAAGTACTTATTTAATAATTCATGTATTATTTTTTTGATAACCGTCATTGAACAGCCAACGCGATTTTGAGTTTACCATTATTAATGCTCAACTCCTGAGCCTTGTAATTTTGAATTAAACCACGAACATAGGAACTGACAAGTGCATATGTATGCATTTAAACCTATATAATCTTTATGAATGCTTATATTTAGACTTAAAAAAAACTAAACTAAAAACTCCATTTTTAAAAAATCTGTAGCTTTCCAAGCAAAAAAAAAAATCTGCTGATTTCAGATTTGCTTGGAACAAGTACTTGTATAAATGCAACAAAAAATCAGTTCCCTGCCATTTGCATGGTGTGCATTAGTGTTATTATATTTAATAATAAGATAACATTGAAATAAAATAATATATTTTTTCAGATCCATGTGAAAATAAACCATGCAAAAACGGAGGAAAGTGCCAAACTTACGATGGCTTAACTGTCAACTGTACTTGTACGGATCGTTACTCTGGAAATTTTTGCGAAAAAGGTAAATTCTAACAATCTTCATTTTTTTACTAAATATGAGCGACCTCAGGCTACCAGCTGGTCTTACTTTTTGAATAGGTAGAATTTCAAGTATTTTAAGATTTAATATCATACAGTTAAAAATCAAGACAATGTGTAAGTATAAACTTATATTGAAGCGAGAGTGGATTTAATTTTTGCCTCTTACACGTTCGTATGGTATCGTTGAAATTGTCGCAAATTAAAATGTTCAGTACAACGTATGTCAAAATTTCAAAACAATCAAATATGCTCTAACTCTCTCAATAGTGCTTTTGATGAATAATAAAACAAATTAATAGTGTCTATTACACCGATTAAAATCTATCCCCTGCTATTCTACGAACTTTTGAAAATAGCGTGAGTTTACAGGAACTTGTCCAATCATCAGTTTACATTAGTTCGTAGGTAGGTACTTTATTTACGTCACCCTAAAACTACACAATGGGCTATTGGCGACCGTCTGGGAGACATCTATGAGGATGTTCTGATGGCATGACATCGCAATTTTGATCAAATGCAGAGGGTATGGCTCCCCTGCTTTGGTAGCTGTAATGTTACTGAACAAATTGCTGGGGTCAGAACGTTAACGTTAGTGGTAATGTTATTCAACCAATTCGAACTTTATCTTAAAAAAAACATTAGTGTAGTTTATACCGGGCAAACATTTACCAGGTCGAGGCACTTAACCCTAAAAAAAATCATTATGGAGTATGCAGGAAAGAGAAACTTACTGTAGAAACTTCAGTGTAGGGTATGATATTAGGGGCATTAGCACTTCATTAATATTCAAATAGAACTAAATAAAATTAAAATAGAATTAAACAACTCAATTGGAATTAAACGCAATTTAAGTATAAATTTAATTTAATTAAAATTTAATACAAAACTTTAACATTGCATATCTCTATGTCCTCATAAGAAAGAAAATTCGTGGCGTCATTCTCATGATCACTTGACCAGAACACACTCAATGATGGGTCAAAATTTACTTCACAATAGCAAAATGAATTTGATTGATCAAATGATCGCCAGTCAGTTTAATTAATTTAACTTTTTTAAGGATAGAAGAAATATTTTTTGTAATTTTTTTTTTCTTTTCTTAGTATTTAGATCCAGGATTTAAAACTTAATTAATCTAAGCCTTAAAAGCGTGTAAAAATATATATGGTTTTAATGCATTTAGGTGTTGTTCATTGTTAACTTTTGCATTTAACACATAGCTTGCTCATCTGGCCACACAGTAAATTACTACCAACTAAATTTGCAAATATTAAGACAGATTCTGCTAGTTTTAAAAGGTTTAGTAATATTAACAGGAAAAAGCGGTGAATTATATAAACCTACGAATTGTTTAGAAATAGTGGTGGATAAAAATCTACTAAATTGAATTTATTAAACTAAGAATCACGATTCATAAACTACCAATAAAAATATTTATTCGCTATCCGGAGCAAGTTGTCATCCCTGTGTACATAAATAAAACTATTTTTTTGTATTCTATATTACATTTATTTCTTCAAATTATTTTAGCAACCATAATAATAATAAAAAAATTAAAAATTTACTCGAATTATGTGTTTTTAATAATCTTGACTTTGCTGGTCACCGGTGATCCCCATGGCATTCAACGTGTTAATAATTTAAATTATTTCGGCGAATTTTATGATGTTTTCATTTAATGTCAAAAGTTTGTAAAAGTAATGTTAATGTTTCATTAAGGTCAAAAAATCTATATTATCATTATTAACAGGGAACAAACAGTTTTAAGACAGTTTAATCAGATTAAACGTCTTGAAATTTAGAGGCCGTTTTGACCACTACGAAATATATATGAATTATAATTCTTATTTTTTTTTTCTTAAAGCTGTGTCGGTAGAATTTGCGAAAAACTAAAAGGATATAATAATATTTTGTATTCTAAATTATGTAAAAGTTTAAGTCAAAAAAGGGAAAAGTTAAAAAAATAGAATAAATAAATATCGTTATTTATCGGAAAATAGTAAAAATTTAAAAGTGGACGATGCTATGAAACGTTTCAAAATAATGACTTCAAATCTAAATAATTATGCTAAGTATACTAAATTTCTGTAAATATTAGTTTACAATTTAAAGGGAGGCAGGGATATGATCCCCGCTCATCTCAGAGGGAAACGAGTGCTTTATCCTCGGTCTCAAAGCTACCAGATAGTTTTAATAAGTATTTTATATTCGGAAACGTTATTTTTGTAGAAAATATTGATTTTTAAGGGGGAAAACAATGATGTGGGAGAAGCGATTTCTGGGTTAGTGAAATGAGCGAGCAGGGGATAAGCTATATCGATTCCTATCAAGATTAGCTCTTAAAATAAATTATTGGATGACGCCAGTACTTAAAACGTTAAAATTGCTTCAGTCTCGCTATTGCTAAGAAATGTTATGTTAGAGTGATTTAAGAACTTAAAAGAAATTCTTCAAGAGCCAAAGTATACTTTTTATTTTTACAATCTGGTTTAAATAATCATAATAAAAAAAAAACGCTTTCTAATACCTGATAAGGGCTTTCATTGTGTTAAAACTTTATCGTCAAAACTGATTTCAGAGGTTAATATAAATGAAACACAGCTTAATGTTCGGTGGCAAACATTTAAATTTGTTTCCGTAGAAAGATTAACTTTTATAAATGAAAAAAAAATATGATGACGATATTTATCTCCATATTTATTTTTTCTTATTTGCTCGTGGTAGGTATTAGGAGGGGGGGGGTGCTGTTGTCTTAGAGGAAGATGTATCTCAAAACATTTAAACAGGATATGAAAATCCCCTGCTTAAAAATCCAATCACTGATATACATACTTATCTTTTTTCTTCTTCTCTTCACAGGGCTGTAATTCGTCCAGAAGAAAGAATTTTTTTTTTTTTAATTATATATCCTCTTTAGCTTGCACTAGTTGTAATTATGATACATTTCAATAAAATAATCTACAAGGAGAGATGTAATGACGTCATAAATTACGATAGCGTCATTGATTGAAAAAGTCGCTTCTTAAAATTAAATGTAAATATTGTATTTTTTATGTTATCCACCAATTCTTTCATAAAGTAGACATTTGGTATAATTTTCCCAAAAGAATTGGGTCGGCTGTTAAAGGAAAGTTATAAACATAAATTCCTTATAGCGCNTTTTTTTTTTTAAATTTTAATTTTATTTTACTTTGCATGTCTTTTTTCTCTTCATTTTCATGCATTGTCATCCAATTCTGAACTGTGTGCTAAATTTGAAGTTTGTAGCTAGTCGGGAAGTTAGTTTAAAATCGATTACAAAATTCCACCCGGACAGACATACACGAAGGCAAGTTTATATAAACGTGGTAAAAAAAGCGCTTTCTCATACCTGATAAGAGCTTTCATTGTGTTAAAACTTTATCGTCAAAACTGATTTCAGAAGTTATGACACAGCTTAATGCTCGGTGGCAAACATTTAAGTTTGTTTCGGTTGAAAGATTAACTTTTATAAATGAAAAAAAAAATATGATGACTATTTATTTTTTCTTATTTGCTCGTGGTAGGTATTGGGGGAGGGGTACTTTTTTTTTAGAGGAAGATGTATCTCAAAACATTTAAAGAGATATAAAAATCCCCTGCTTATAAATCCAATCACTGATAAACATATTTATCTTTTTTTTTCTCCATAGGGCTGTAATTCGCCCAGAGGAAAGAAGAAAATATTTTTGAAAAATTATATATCCTCTCTAGCATGCACTAGTTGTAATTATGATACATATCAATTAAAATAATCGGTTATTAATAATAAAATAAGTTAATAAGTTATTAATAATAAAATAAATAACTGGGAGAGATGTAATGACGTCATAAGTTACGATAGTGTCATTGATAGAAAAAGTAGCTTCTTAAAATTGAATGTAAATATTGTATTTCTTATGTTATCTACTAATTCTTTCTTAAAGTAGTAGACATTTGTTACAATTTTCCGAAAGAATTGGGTCGGCTGTTAAACGAAAGTTATAAATATAAATTCCTTTCAGTGCTAGATTCTTTACGAGGTGAGCCGAGTTCGAATCCCAGGGATGGCTGGTTGATTCAAATTCCGCACTCGACTTGCACCGACCACAGTGGTGACTTAAAATATCTTCAGTGGAAGACGGATCATTGGTTAGAGTTCCCTTGCCGTCAGGCTGACCGCGGGAGGTTTAAATACTCCAAAACTTTCTGGCACTACTTGATCCAAGAGTTTGTTTCTCTTCTAAGTTGGGTTCAAAATTACAAGACTACGGAATTGAACACTGGTAGTCGTAAGCCCGAAGTTGGGTCGGCTGATCATGAAACTACTCTGTCACCACTTTCAATTTTAATAAGAAGAAATTGTCCGAAAATTTATAATCAAAAAGTTGAAAGTGATCGAAACGAATAATTTAATTTTCCCGGACGAAAGTAAAAATGAAAAGAGGTATTAGTAAGATACCTTGCAAAAAGTAAGGCAGATGCGGTTGGCAGATGTAAAAAAAAACATACCTGAGGTAGAAAATAAGGTTCTGTTTCGCACTAAAACTAATTAAAAAACCTCAATTAAATCTCATTTACACCTCACAAAATCAACCTCATGTAAACCTCAGTAATAATTTCAGTCTAACTCTTGGGAAATTATTCACACATCAATTGTACCTATTTGCTTGAAGTGTAGAAAAAATAATCCATACACCTCAAAAACAACCTTTCTAAGCTGGCAGGTAGATTTCCATCAAACTCAAGTGTGAATAAAACAACTGCATATACTTTAATAATACAAGACTCTTTGAGGTTGATAATTTAAGGTTGTTTATAAAATCAACTTCGAATAAACCTCAAATCAACCTTGAAACCTCTAAAAAACCTCAAAAATACCATATCTTTAATTTTTTAAGGGGAGATAATGATTATCACGATATATTGATAATATAAATATTTTTATTTGGAACTGGTGTTAGTCGCTAGAACTATCTTAACACGTTCACTCCGGGATGATCCACCGGTGGGTCACGCTAGATTGTCTCATCTTGGCAGCTCACCGGAGTAAAAACTGGTAACAATAAATTTCATTTTTTAATTTCGTTCCGGAAATAATAAAAATCCATAACTACCAATTGTTTTTAACGGATGCAATTTTTGTATTGAATTGCTTCTTCGCCTAGATAAATTTCCTTACAGTGAATTGTTATTGTTCAGAAAAGATTAACTTCTCCTGAATATTATATAATATTGAAATAGTTCTTCTACCAGTTTTTTCTCTTTTCCCGTACAAGTATTTTCACTTTTCTCGGCGTGAACGTGTTAATGCTTAAGTTGCAGGTAGCAAAAACAATGTGTTTTTCTTTTGCGACTGTATAGTATCAAGATAATCAAACTGACAGAATGTTTTTTTTTTTTCACACAAAGCAAATTAAGTATAGGAGAAAAAAATGAATGATAATACTAATGCATTTATTTGGCATCATTTCACTAATCATATTATTTCACAAATGGTTATAAAATTGTTCTTTATTTACCAGCTAAAACTGGTTGTGAAGATTATGGAGGAAACAAGGAGTGCCGGGGGAGAGGAGACTTCTTTACTTGCATTAACGACAAAAAAGACTCATCTAAATACATATGCGACTGCCTGCCTGGATACAAATTAAACAGCAACAAATGCATTGGTAAAACACTTAATTTATTTCCTCTAACTTTACCTTTAATGCCTACCGGGCTGTGTAGGGGTCAGGGAACTGGCCTTGGTTCTGGGTTCGAATCCCGGTCAAGGCATGGATGTTCCTTCATTCTCTCTACTATGTGTCCTTATTGTGGGAGCAACGTTGGCCCACCTAATAGGGTGCCCCTGATGGCCAACACATCTACCCTTCAGATGCCTGTACTGACGAAAAATCATTCCCCAGGTGGGCATTGGAAAAAAAATTTAAAGAATCTTTGCATTTAACTTTCACAATGATGCCAACTTGCTTCTCATTACATGGAAAAAATACCGAACAATGAAAAATGGGAAAAAGAAATATACTAATAAAAATCTCCGGAAGAAAATTCCGAGAAAAGGAGAAAAAATTAATTTAAATATATTCTCACACTATTGTATTGAAATATTTTTCTTTGGTTATATTGATACAATATAAGAAAGCACTTCTTTTTGCGGATATAATGTGAGCTGATGAAAAGATTAGATATTTTATTTTACGGATTTTAATTATTACTTTTCTTTTAACCTTTTTTTAATTATTCTATAATTTCTCCACATTTTGAGCTTATTTTATGAGTTCTGTTTACTTGCAGCTTATTGCGCTCGCAGTATATATATATATATAT